AATTATCATTTGAAAAGTTATCTCTATTGTTTAGGTTTTCTAGTATGATTGATTATTTCTTTAGACAAATAAGCTACTCAGTGCTTCTTGGTTTTACGTAGTCGTTTAATCAAAGTGAGTGTGTGGTTAGAAATGATGATAGTTGAGTAAGCTGAGTCAAATGATTTACTGAACATAATTAACTGAGATTTTATTGGGCATTCAACTATGCCCATAAATGCCTTGTTATGGCCGAGGGTGGGGAGAGTCAGCTCTCCCTCTCCAATTGCTTTCACATGGCCATAAGTATACAGTCACTGTCAGGGAAGTTCTACTCACTGCCTTCTCGTGGTATTACTGTTGTTTACGAAATCGAGAGGACGAAAAGCGAGTGTCAGGCACTTTAACCGGGTTGGTGGGCACGGAGGGTCCACCTAGGAGAGTTGGAGAACCCTGGTTCCAAACCAATGGTGCACATGGGTTCCAGGATCCTGAGAGAACAAATGGCGTATGAACCAATGGTTGGTCACCGGCTACCATGAGACGACATCTGCTTACGTTGCTCTATTGTCTTGTGGATCAGATCTTCAGGTGGAAAGCTCCGGGTGTGGCCCCTTAAGAAAAACATCTGCTTCGGTCTGGGCATCCAGTAGTATCATAGCTCACACACAAATCAAGTAACTTGTATGGTGTACATGTATTCGGTGCCCCTTTTTACCACTATTTATGTGTTCAAATAAATAAAGAGAATCCGAATGCATCACGATGATTATCTTTTTCATAATCATTGATATTTACCGTGTAATATGTATCAGTTAGTATATTACTTTCAAAAGATTGTTATGTAATACTATAAAATGAAGGCAATGCATAATATAAACTGAAATTACTATATCATATGAATATGTATAACAGTCAAGATTGGAATGATATTGATCTACACAACTTCGATAGGCAAAGACGATTTTGCTATGGTAGAAATCAATGAATTCCTTATCAATTAATCTTGGTTTCTCTGAAATATAACAATTAATGAGGATATAAATTAAATCATGTACAACTTATATACATGATACATAGATTGGTTCACAACGGGAATTAAGTCAAACAGAAAGTATTATATACGGATGAAGAATAAGTAAGTGATAACCTCTAGGATCTATTTATGAACTATAGTCATATATATTCATATTGTATAACTATTAAGTAACTAGATTATATGTATATTTATATTCCTTTTATTATAAGATTTCATATGGCCTAATGATTACTATTATACAATTTGCTATTCCTAAGTTATTCCCAATTTATTAGTTAGTGTCTCACAATCACGGCCACTTTTTGGTCAGAACTTGCCTAATTGTCATTTTCTATTATATAGTATGATGCGGTCTGATCTATTTGTATATAAACTGCGTATGTTTGCAATACATGATTCATATAACGAAGGCTGATATTGACGTTCTGAACTGAACCGGCTGCGTGAACCAATAACAACTCAGAGTTCACTCTAGGCTCCTCGTACTGGTTTATGCATCATTGGTCTGTTACAGTGCTAGGTTCGTGTTTTAATTGGCGATCGTATCACATAATATGATTAACAGGGTAAAAACGATATAACAGAAAGTAAAACATTAAAACGATTAAAATCAACAAATGATTCTATCATAAATAACCAAGGAGTCCAAATAATAAGTCTTATCAGTTGTTGATAATTCATTTCAAAGCTAAAATAATATCTTACTGATCTAATAACAAAGTTAGTTATTGAATATAAATGTAAATCGAAAATCAACTCTGTCTTGTCATCAAATTGACTCCATTGGTAAATAGTGTTTTTAGGGTCACAGTATCAATTATGCACAATTGACTTGAATATATTAAAAGAGAAAAAAAAACTTCATTCGGATTGTAATATCAATTGAATCATCAAGTTGAATCCACTATTAAGGTAAATATATCTAACAAAAACTGTAGTAAATCTCACATATATTTTTATCTATTATTTACATGTTTGAACTAAATATGAATTAGAATTATACCGATGATCCAATAAAGCATCTTGATGGTACTTGGACTATCTTTAATTAATACTTATTTATAAATGACTGTTTTAGTAGTATCAGAAAGGGTTTTGTGGAGATTGTACTAATTTCAGTAGTTGAGATCATGAATCAATTGAAGCTAGACCACCATGGAAAGCCTGGAAGTACTGGGCGTCCATTTCGCCGTATTGTGGGACTCCTCAGCAGTGCGCATCGATCCAGGACCTAGCAGTCTCACGCGCGAGCGCTTAACCACCAGATCACTGAACCGACTGTCAGCCAACGGTGTTAATGTCTAACTTCAACAAATCCACGAAATTGAACGACACATCCACCATTGTTCTCAGTGAGTTACTCTCACAACAGACCCGGTTGGACTCCACTAGTCACTGCTTCGCACTAGAACTCCAGGATATACCTCTTAAAGCCAGTCACTGGTGAGCAGATGTTGATTAGTATTAGTGTTAGGTCGAGATAAACATAGTGAATGGTAACTTTGGGATCCTATTATGGACCAATACTAAACGTATATTTTTATCCTATAATTGTCAAATAACTAGACTACTCATATTCATATTCCTCTTATTATAAACTTTATTTTGACCTATGAACCATTATTATAAGTTTTACAATTCTTGAATTATACCTGTCTATTAGTCACTGCCTTCCACATTCACAGCCACATATGGCTAATTCTTGTACAAATGTTGTTCCATATTTTATTGGTACGTTGTGGTCTGTTTGATTGGTATATAAACTCAGTATGTTTGAAATATGAGGATTCATATTGCAGAGGCTGAGACCGGTGTTCTGGACATAACTGGCTGGGCTAGGCGGAAAGCAGGACCAATCAGGACTCTAGGCTGCTCGCACGTGTTTTACGCGTCCTTGGTCCGATCGATAATTCGCTGCTTCTGATTGGCGATTTTGGGCCATAACAATCAGGAGGGGTTTTAATAGTCACTAACCGCCTACGCACTACGAATTACTATAAGACATGGTCTTACAAAATACCAAGCATTCAAAATATAACAGTAACTGTACATAATCACTCGCTGCATGTGTTTGTGTGTGATAGCAATCTAAGAAATAATGAAGGAATGTTGTAAATTTGATCATGTTTCAGAGGTATGAAAAGACAACATTTACTTGCTACCAATGTATTAGAACCAATATCCGTTGGCTGGTTACGATCAGCAATAGCCTATTGTGGGAGAGAACAAACCAGCTTCCAGCTGAAGAGCAAATCAGGAAAAGACGTTGTGAGTGAATAGGACATACATTACGAAAATCACCAAACTGCATCACGAGGTAAGCGCTAATTTGGAATCCTGAAGGGGGACGGAAGACAGGAATGCCCAAGAACACACTACATCGAGAATTGGAATCATGTATGAATAGTAACTGGAAAGAAGTGTCCAGAACAGTGTTGGATGAAGAATGCTGGTGGGCGGCCTATGCTCCTCGACGTCTAACAGGCGTAAGTAATGTATCAGAACACAAATATAATGAAAGGATCATTTGCTTCCAACTTCATTTGTGATATTTTCAGCATTTAAATATTGATTAATCAAATCAATCCTGTTGGTTAGATCACTTCTATCTCACAGATTGAATATTAACATTCGTATACTCTTAAATAATGCAAGTTGTCGTACATTTTGAAGTATTACAGGATTTCAGAATAAGTGATTGACTTGATTGGTAATCAATGTACTTTAGAAGGCACTTCAGTAACTACCCACTAAAAATTCGTCTGTGGAAATATTACTTGAATCCTAATTCAGCATCAACTCAAACATGTTTTGTCATTTGATATACTGATATAATCATAATGCAATCCGAAGTGATCGGGTGAAATGTATTTTATTAAAAAGTAAACTCACAGATTTGTAGTAGTGATAGGATATTTGACTGCACAAATATATTAGACTTTTGTTGAATATACCCTCGAGTATGCTACTTGGGAGGTGTTTATGTAACTATACTTACTTTTCAATTATTTATTTATTCTGAAGTGGAGTAATTTCCTGTATGAGTAGGAAAATGTATCACTCACAACAGGTTTGAATCTTAATTAAACGGATTTTGACACATATACAGACTATCTCCATACATTTACGGTTTAACAGCTCGTAAAAACATTACCCGCTTATTTACGAAAACGGCCGATTTGAGTGCAGTGTTTAGACAATTCAATTTATTTTATACATTGTTGTCTGGTAACGCTGATAAACAAATATTCGCTTAGTGATTTTTCGATTTCATCCAATCTGCTTCCATTTAGTACAAATAATACCAACCTTTTCATAGACAATGCCAGACAATGTAGGCGTTCAGTTTTTTCTCTGTATTACTATAATTTTCTATGATAAATGTTTTATTCCAGATGTTTAAAGCATAGTTTACTGTATAATGAGTCTAACATTGTGGACAGATAATTCGAAAATATCATTTCAACATCTAAAACATATTCTCTTCTGATAGATATGTAGACTTGAATGTTGCATGGAGACGACTTTATTTACTACACATAACCTCATCAACCAATAATTTGAACAATACCACTCACTAATTGTATTCAATGTCAGATAGTTTCATAATGATGTTTGGTTTTTTTTTTACATCCAACTGACCTAAGTGGTATTTCCAAAATACTATTTAGTTTAATCGAATTTTGTATAAATCAGTGATGAATAATAAGCACAGATCAAAATCATCGACGAAAAACTTTACTTTAAGTGCTATTGTCAACTATACCAAGCAATTATCAATGGTAACGCAACCATATTTACACATGTTTGTATAACATGATTGTTAACCTGAATAAGTATTTGAATCATAGTCTATTTATTATACTACTTTTGGTCTTAGCTACATGACTTGCGATGATCATTTTGTGAGTTTGTTTCATTTATGCAAAATAAGTAGATATATGTTGTCGTTTCATAGAAATCAAAGTACATAAATAAACAATTAAAATGGTCGAATTCACGTTTATTGAACTATTTCGAAAACAAAAACATACACACAAAATAAAAATGAAATCCATATTCTTTTAATTACAATTCGATACACAATCATTAAATGAAACGTTTTGCTCACAACATCGATAAGCAAGTATTTACAAGAGGATAATTTATTCAAGTTGACTATGTTATATTATTGAATGAAAATCGAATATGTGAAAAAATACAGACAAAATTTCTCAGTGATAAATGAATCAATGTAATCCATGGGATAGTAAGCCATAACATACATTGGGTAGTTTTAATGTAAGTGAGACATAATCATTTCTGGTGCTTACGTTCACACAATTAAATCTCAACGAGAATGACTAAGGTTTGAGTGTTGTCCACGGTGAATTCTATTTATGAACGACTCTTGTAGTACGACTTAGCGAATAGGAACTCGAATCGACTGAATGTCTGTCACATAACACTTCAACATTAGTAATTAGCTTGTGAACACAGATAAAGAAGGGACTTTAAAGATAGTGAGTAGCAATGAAGTATACGAACCAATCAGTCGGATTTCGTTTGGAAATACATTTTTGCTAAGCATCTAATGTTAGGTTGTGACGAAAACTTTAAAAATTCAAACAAGGAATCGTTATTCGTGTTAAAACTGTTAGTCAAATATCATTGCATTGCTTCCCAGTCGTGATTCATTTCATATAACGACAACAAATGTTACTACTGATACTAATGCTTTTACTACCAATAATAATTACAGTACCTTCACATATATCTCGTAACTCAGTCTGCAGTTCTACTTTTTGTATCTAATGTGTGTTTTATGTGTCTATACACGTACCATTTTATCCAATCTGTTTCTTTGTCTCACTACGTATCATCTAGTCTGAGTTATACTAGAGCTTGTAAAGAGTAATATCTTCAGTGGACTGTTTTGCTTCCTCCACTATTCGTCTGTTTGTCGAAATGACGTTTTATTTCCAGTTTTACAGTTTCTATAACTGATTATATGCTTTTATCTTCGAAACTGCATATATCACTGAGAAATACTTGTTCCCTCTCTCTTTCTGTGAAAAAAGCCTTCACAATGCAATTAAAGCAATGTATGTGTGTGTGTGTGTGGTCAGTGTACACTAGTATTCAAATATCTGTAAATTATCAACTATTTGGAAAACAGAATTGTGTACTACAAGGTACATTTCTCATCATTCGGAGCAAGTATCATTTTTGCTTTGTTTATGATCCTACTATGTATGCATGTCTTAAGTGACATTACTGGTGAAGAACACATATTATTACTATTATTATCATTATAATTGTTCAATATCGGTAATTAGAAGTTCTGAGCACAAAATCAAATCGAATGAAAGATAAAAAATGAAACCCATAGCCCTATTTAAATGATACCTCAACTACTAGTGTTTATATTATGCTTCCAGTTTATTTCAAAAATTCAAACGATAGAAAGATTTAATGTATGTAGAAATGTGTGAAGGAAAAATGAGAAGTGAAGTGTTTGAATATCCAGAACAGAGAAAATACAGTGTAATAGAAAACTATGGTGGGAAACTTTGTAAATGGAATGAACATTTAAACAAAATCAAATCATAATTATGAGTAAGTAATTTGTGATGATGGTTGGATAATGCCACCATTATACATATTATAGGCAATGAAAATTATGAGTGATAATTGCTATGAAAGAAAATAAATAGGAATGCAAAAGCTGACGATAATATACGTTATTGCGAGTTTACTTCAATCAATAAATAACGCAACTTCCATGGTAGGAATACTCACAATCAAGGATAAATCAACTAACCAATTAACGAGGATAGTATTTCTCCAATATTTTTGACGGAATTCGTTTCAACAATTCTTTCGGGAATATACGCAAGAGTTCCCAACCGACGTCTAGTGAGTCAAATACACTACGGTTTTCATAAGCACCTAATTCAATTAGACACAACAAGAACAACAGAACATAAAAAATCAGTGAGTCTTAAAACAGCTCACCTGGTTGGTATTTACACGACTTAAGTACTCAAATGAAAGCTAAGTAACACTGGTTGTCGACTGAATAACTCACTAGTAAGAATGTGAGTTATGGCTTGTAGCTGCAAACTGGTTTGATTGGAGTCCTCATGATGACTACGATTAGAAGTTGGAGATATTGAGTGATACAGCTCAGATGCAATTTCCATTTACCTTCACCCTCTCGGTCTTTACAGTAAATATTCTGTCAAATTTTTTTCCTTCAAATATATCACTTCTTGCTGAATCGTAGTCTTCAGTTATAAACTATATTTGTCAAAATGTCAGCGACTGAAATCAAAATAATCCCCTTGTTTCACACTGCAGTTTCATCCGAGCGTCTCCAAGGAAAGGATTAAAACTCCAAATTCCCTATTTTTATTCCAATCGCTAACATTTCTACGAGTATAATTTTCCTAATAACGCTTCTAGTTAACTCGGTGCCCAACAACTTCAAATTTATTAGTTCAAGTTCAAACAATGATTCACATAATCAATATACCATTCAGGGTTTAGTCTTTTCCACTTTCAGCGATACAACTACTATATTAACTCATTTATTACTCATCTCGTTAATTTCATCTCGCTGTGTTGATTTCTTATGGTGATATAATGTGATGAACATTTATGTTAAGCTCCATGTCGATTATGATGAACTGTGAGGCGTGAATTCGGAATATAACCGAATCATAGTTATGAGTTGATGTTGACGACTTCCAAATTAAACTGGGTCGTATATGTAATTTTTTCTCGATTACACACAGAAGTGGCTATTCCGTATATCAAGACGTTTGAATTATGATGACATTTGCATGAAAGAGATTGTTTAGATAATTGAACTAACCTTGAGAAATGAAATTCTTCTCAAACTTTGTCAGGAATTCTAAATAAAGTAAGTCCTCTGGGCTTAATGCTTCTTCACCAACAACAGCTTTCATTGCTTGGACATCCTTTCCTATTGCGTAACATGCATACTGTTAATAAAAAGAATAAAGAAGAGAAAATGGAAGGATCAGTTGTTAATGCGTAAATATTACAAATATGAGGATAAATGAATGGTAGTGAAACTTAGCACCCATGAAAAAATTCACTATATGGAATTAAAAGTCGTACTATGTGTGGACCGATCATACTGTGTATAGCTTCTGAAAGTTTAGCATCCATAAGAGTGGTTCCAAACAGAGAATAAACAATTAGAAATGAACAACAGTTCCTATGCAAATTCTTACAGTACCCAAAAGAAAGAGCTTGTGTTCCCATCTATCCTTCAGAATCAAGTTTCTAAAATAGTTGAGAAATCCATGTAACTCAAAAGCTGTGTGAAAGCTAGCAACGTTGCAAGAGATAAAACCAAACATTCTTTCGAGAAAGCCAGGACACAGTTGACAATTGAGAGCTTCACAAGGAAGTTATGTGGAGGTAGGGACAATCCTGCAATGTGAGCAATTTTATGTTGAGGTTGCAAAATAAGGCCTCTTGAAGTTGGATATCCCTGACGAGTGCTTGAGGGAAAAATTGGAAAGACGATCAGTTCACAACAATATCCAAATAAATGTTTGTAAATCATAAGTCCTCGGACGGCGTTCAACAGAACACATAATTCAATGATTTGAGACGTTTTTTTGAAGGTCTTTCGTCTTTCAAAGGATTAAATAATGAATTACAATAACACGGCTACTGGCTTCAGTCGCGAACAGCTCAAGTCACTGAGCGGTTTGATAAAAGGATCCTCGAATAGAATCTCGATGGGTCAATGAAAATCTTATAAGTATAGTTACTTTTTACAGTTACGGAAGATGGTAACAGATGAACCATCGCTCTGTCAGCAGTTAGTGCCAGTGTCAGTTTTTAATGCAAAACTTTGAGACGAGTTTTGCGATGCATCACCAAGCCGATGTTTTAGGACGATACCATTCATTTAATCATGATCCCTATTATGATCGAAAACGCTCTATATAATACTAACAATCCTTTCGAATACAAAGAGTAGATATCATGTTACGGCATTAACCAATGAATAAAAAAAACCTATCAATAGCTTCGATTTGATTTCCAGCATATCTGTAAGTGATATTTCGCCTTTATAGAATTTCTTTGATGAGTATTCAACTGAATAGCGTTATTCTCTACCACATAAACTCCTCATCAACATTGGTCGTAACTGTTTCAACACTGTGAATTTTTCACATTAAATTAGAGAAACCGACTCAGCCCATAATCACCTCCGTAAGCACACTAACCAAAAATTTAGGTAAACAAAAAACTTACCAACTGATTGGACACATCAGAATGATCTTCACGAGTCATATTCACACCAATGGCAGATTTCATCAAACGTGACAACGACGGTAACACATTGATTGGAGGATAGATCTATGTGATTTTTCATTCCATTCCCGTCAAAAAGAGACATGGTAATAGTGAAATAATGAGTAATTTAGTGTCAGAAAAAATTATCCATTCGTTCACAAACACAAACATTGCTGCTAAAGAGACACCAAGATATATATGCGCCACACAAATCACTAAATTGTTGTGTAGACTGGGATATTACCCGGATTTCTGAACTGATGGTTTTTTTTAAGGGGTCGCCCTCCGGACCTTTGACTTACAGACCTAGTCCACGAGGCGGTGAAGCAACGTTAGATGTAGTCTTATAGCATCCAGTGACCAAGAATGAATTTGTACGCCATTGGTTTTGAATCAGGGTGAACACTACGTACCCGACAATGCAGTTTAAGCGCCAGGTATTCGCTTCTCGTTCTCCCAATTTCGTTAACAACACCCCACCGAGAGAAGGCAGTGAGCAGGACTTCCTTGGCAGAGGTTATAAACACGTGGTCCTATGAAAGCGTTTCGAGAGGGAGGACTCTCCCCACTCTCGGCCATACCAGGGCATTCGGGGACCATAAGAAATAACTCAGTTAGGATCCAATATATTCATCAAAAGTTCAGTTATTTGTAAAAATAGACTATTAATGATGTACTAGTACTAGGTAATGTAACGCATGGAATTTAATTAATTCTTATTATTAATAAATGATTAATGTTTTAGAAACTTAAATAGTACAATATTAATTTTGCATGAAACATTTCTAATAAACTTGATGTGAATAAATTGAGTTTTTAAGGTTATAAAATAAAAATGGGTTTATGTAGCAAAGTGAATGTGTATCATCGTTCTTAAGAAAAAATAGATTTGGTTATAAGAATCACAATCACACTGCATAACAACAAAACCAAACACTATTATTACATTTCAGGTTGATTGACTAGTGTGTTGAATTTTAATATGATTTGAAGCTTATAACGTAAATAATCCTTAAATTTTCGCACTGACATGATTAAAGTCATAACATGGGTTGGCATAACTGAGTATGGTTAGACTGTGGCTAGTAGTAGAATCCATGATGCATGTCCCATTCTACTAGGTAATTGTCAAGTGAATCTACCAGTATCACGGCAGTGATGTTTAAATTTTGATTTGAACCTAGTACCTAACACCCCATATGCCAAAATGTAAGTCAAATGACTCGTAACTAGGATTAAACGAGTGTTCCAGTTTCAATATCTGGCCACATTGGTGACATTAAAACTTGGATAAACTAACTATACTGAAGTATGCACTCATTAAACTCAAAAAGAGTAATTCATGTAAAAGAATAAACTAATTAACAACACAGTAAGTGAAATACTCCAGTTTTCCACAAACCTGTCTGTTATGTAATTGACGATCAACATAAATTTGACCCTCTGTAATATAACCTGTTAAGTCAGGAATAGGATGAGTAATATCATCATTAGGCATAGTTAAAATTGGAATCTGTGTGATTGACCCTGAGCGACCTTCAACCCGACCAGCTCGCTCGTAAATTGAAGCCAAGTCAGTGTACATATAACCTGGGAAACCACGACGTCCTGGTACTTCCTCACGAGCTGCCGATACCTAAACGACAAAGATCATATTATGAAAGAACCTGATAGTAAAAATAACTGTAAATAATCCTATGTTAAGAGTACAAACGATAGTTATTCTTTCTAGACCATTACATGTTCAAACACGTGTTAACAAGTACTTTTCCAACGTATGTTTAGTACTTCACTCTAACACATTGTCTTAAAAGATGGAGTATGGTAGAGCTGATGATTAAGAATGAGCAGCTGGGTAAGAATATTAAACTGGTTTACTAAGCAGTCAAAATAATTATTTGATAAGGGTTCCATCGAAGCAGAGTTTATGTGAAGTGAGACTTGAAAAAAATATACATTGGCTCAAGTCGGTAGGTGTACATAAGTCAAGATCCCAAAGCATATTACTACAGAGAAAGAAAATTATCAAGTCCGAGAGAAGTGGTGGTAGGAAAATAATCACTTTAATGGACCATTGCATCATATTGTGAAAATTGCTTATCCACATATATTTTGAACTAAATTCGAACTTTTGGTTTAGAAATCCATATAACCTTATTTATCTCGCTTCATAATCTTTGTCTACTAAGTGGTGGCTCAAGACTAAAAATTATATCAATGTCTAAATAATCGGAAAATAATAATTACCTCCGCAGCATATGTAGCGTATAGTGTGGTAACTCCTCTACGATTTTCCGAGCTATTCCGGTACATGAGACTTGAATTTTATGAAAAGTTTTAAGGAAAATGACAAAACAATACGGATCAATGACCGCACACTATAATATAAAGACTACAATTACAATGCGTAGAAAAGCAGTTCATGTGGCAATATAGAGTTGTGAGCCATCACTCGATTTACGCACCCACGTTCCAATCAGTAGCTGGCAAGTCCAGACTCTCCCCAAGATCATACCTTTACTTAATTCAAATTACGGTACATTTATAGAACACTACTAATTACCTCACGCAATGCTTCTGCATATGAACTCATATCGGTAAGGATAACCAACACATGCTTTTCACATTGATAAGCCAAATACTCGGCTGTTGTAAGAGCGATTCGAGGTGTTATAATGCGCTCGATAGTTGGATCATTCGCCAAATTTAGAAACAGACACACATTCTCCATTGAACCATTTTCCTTAAAATCTTGCATGAAAAACCGAGCAGTCTCCATATTAACACCCATTGCTGCGAATACAATCGCGAAATTGTCTACATCACTATCTAGAACGCTTTTTCCGGGTAACTTGACTAGACCAGCTTGACGACATATTTGGGCAGCAATTTCATCGTGCGGTAGACCAGAAGCGGAAAATATGGGGATTTTTTGGCCACGTGCAATCGAGTTCATCACATCGATACTTGATATGCCAGTTTGGATCATTTCTTCTGGATAAATGCGTGACCAAGGGTTTATTGGTTGACCCTGAATGTCAAGGTAATCTTCTGCAAGGATTGCTGGACCTTTGTCTTTCGGTTTTCCAGAACCATTGAATATACGACCTTAAAAACGCCTGAGATTTATGTAAACTAAACATACCTAACATATCTTCTGACACAGGTGTACGAAGGATATCTCCTGTAAATTCACATACAGTGTTCTTTGCATCAATACCGCTAGTACCCTCGAATACCTGGACTATGGCCCTTTTGCCGCAAACTTCTAAAACTTGTCCCGTTCGCTGACTGCCATCAGCAAGAGTTAGTCTCACAATCTCATCAAATTTAGGAAACTTTACATCATCAAGTATGACGAGAGGTCCATTTACTCCTGAGACGGTTTTGTAAGCTGCAAAATAAATTTCAAAACACAACTACGGAATAACTATAGCTAAAGAAGTGAAGAGTCAACAAAACCGACTGTTCATTATAACTATGTGGTCAGTGTTAATAGACATAACTAAACCGGAACACCAAATATAGTGTTACACATACTTAAGACTTGTGTAATATTTTTGATAATGACGAAGAACATTGGAATATACAAACTACAATTCATCAACCACTATAAAATGCTATTCGAAGTATGGATTATACATATATTTTTTTTAAATACACTGCGTAGTAAACTAACTTAAAGTGTACTCCCTACTTACCTCATAATTACGAGTTCTTATTCCTCTATGATCGTCTTATTTTTATTTGCTGTTCATACACCTGGACGATTAATAAGTGGAACTTATAATCCGTAATAAGGAGCCAATCGGAATGCAAGTAATGTAAGTTCTCCACGTTCGGATTTTCAAATTTCCAACTTTATGAGGTTTAAGTAGTACAAACTAACTATTATGGATTATAACTGGCCAAACGACATACGCGCGACTAACATTTTTCCTAACTACATAATATAGCGTGGGATACATGCAGGTAAGTCTTATTCACTTGCTAATACTTTGGAGGCAGTAGGGGTTTGAATCAAAGAAATTTTACTAGAAACGTGCACATGTTGCATAAAACCAATGTTACTTGGACTGTCATTCAACTATGATCCCTCAGGCTGAGTGAATGAGATTTCCGGGGAACAGCTAACAAACTTGACGTATATCCACCTAAAAACTCCGCATCAAAACCTTTTCTCTGATGTTATCAGTTGTCGTGATAAAATCTTGTACCACAGATAGTTTCTTGGAGCTAAACTTCTGGTTTTAAGAAGACTGTGGTACATCCACAACCTCAGCAGTAATAACCAAGACTAACGCAAACAATCAAAATCGAGATCCTTAGTGTCACAGAGCACCTATAAACCTCTGTATTAATGTTAAAATGACTGGAGAAGGTTCGTACAGACGTCCTGACTATCAGGAACGAGTAATTATGGTTGAAAATTATTACTGAGAAAAAGTAAACCGTATCATCGTTGGTACTAAACTCACTTATACGAGGCTGTGATATGTAGTCTCTAGAAACAGCTTGCGAGTGAACAAAATTTGCTGCCTTCCGATCCATCTTTATTGCCAGATCATAAACGAAACGTATCCGTAATACGCGCTCAGCAAAACTACGGTGCAAATGGTTCAAATGGTTGTGGACGGATAGAAGAAGCTTTCGCCTAACGGGCTTCCGTGTGCAGCAGCAGTGGATCACCAATACTTTCAAGCAGGAATCTAGATATATTAACGATAATAAAAGAAAAAAGAAATCGGTAAATCATAGTGAGATATTATCCCTAATCCTTAAGAATATGTCAAGTTTCCTCTTAAAGGACTCCCAGAAAGTCGCTTTGACTAGCCCTGCCGGCAGCGAATTCCAGCATTTAATAACTCTTAGGGAGTAGAAGTTGTGTCTACAGTCCGTTGTGCTATGTTATGTCTCCAGTTTCTGGATGTTACCCCTTAGTTTTGTGTTGGAGTTAGATTTAAGTAGGTGTTTAAGGGGATGTCCAGAAGTGTTAATGATACTGTAAGCCGTTAGGTCACCTCTAGGACGACTAAACTCTAATGGGTAAAGGTTAAGTGATTGGAGGCGCTCTTCATAAGGCTTGAATTTGTGTCCCCGAACTGATTTCGTGGCTTGCCTTTGGATACGCTCCAGAGTGTCTTTATCCTTTTGGATTGAGGGAGGAAATGCTATGTTTCAGTATCCTAAATGGGGACGAATAAAACTGTTGAAGATCACGTGGAAAGTTATACCGTCAAAATGGACAAAACTGCGCTTCAATGTTACCAGTGCAAGGTTTGCTCGAAAGGCATTTTCGTCAGTTAGTGTAAGTCTTCTTATCGTAGGGTACCAGCACTCCTAGATCTTCTTCTAGAGAAGAGTTTCTTAAGTTGTAACTGTAGTCTGTATTGTGTCTCAGATGGACCACTTTACACTTTGAAGTGTTAAATGTAAGTCCGGTGTATTAAAGTATCCACACAATATTCAATATCTTCGTGGTGAGTTAGCATAAACTATTTTCGCCTTCATCGCGACATCAGAGAAGTGGTTAAGCCTTTGAGCAGAGTTCAGAGAGCGTTCAAAAGATACAGAAAACTAAAATTCCAATGAACATCAGAAGTGATCTGATGAATTCGGTTGTTGAGTTTCGCACTTTACTAATCTCTGTCCAATGCCACTACATTAGAACGTTTTAAACGTCGTCATTGTATAAGTTTGGCAATTCCACTCCTAAAAAAGGACAGAGAATTGTCAGAAGTACTTCAAAGAGTCTCAAAAAATTCGATCAGTAAAATCTCAGTGACACCATATAATAAGACATCGGCTATGTTGAACGCGTCTGTCTTATTTTAAAGATCCAGCAATGCGTCTAGAGACGTCACGGATGTCCAGGGCTTGACGATGCTCTGGTCTGTAACATCTCTATAACCGAGAGTCCCAAATACAGTCAAACCAGAAGTTTCAATGGATGATTTAGAAGATAGTTGGTATATCGAGAAGCGTGTGTACTCAACTAACTAAATGTTATGAGGGTTGTGTACAACAGCTTACCCAATAATGAAATGATAAGGAAGTGTGATCGAGCACCCTCAGCTAAGACATATCCAGTAAATCTCATCATGTCTGTATTAATGTCAGAGACTCACTGAACCATTTATCACGGGAAATTACAGCTTCTTTGAGACCTATATCTCGCACCGGAAGGATGTCTACATGTATTACCGTCTACGTTAACTAACTTGCTACGCTGTACTTTATCAGCACTGGGCAAAGATTCGAAGGATCGGTTACTGGCATCTCAGTTCCTCGAGTGGACTAGCGCTTAAAATTCTAGGGGTGAGGGGCTGCTGAGTAGGAATGAATGAGTGTGGAATACAGCATCGTTTCACTGTAAGCAAAGGGAGAAGATTTTCTCATAGGAATTCAGGCAGTGATCGACTTGAATGACAGAACAGTGACCACTAAGCGTGGGTAATCAATCACATACGAAAGCAGTGGGAAAGCAGACATACAAACACTGACCATAAAAGGTATCAGACGTTGAAATAATCTTGGTAAAGTGTGGAAATTTATTCATTGAACACGGGTGAGCCTGTGGGTTTTGTGGTAAAGTGACGCACAAAATCCCAATAAGGAGTCTCCGAAAGACAACACCTCATATCCTATTCTTCACATGTCTGTAACTTAATTTTATCTGGCTATACATAATGATTAATGCTGAATGAAAGGATTTGACTCACACGCCTTCTACACTACGCGCCATCTCGTTTTGCACTCTCTTCTTCCCTTCCTTCACTACGTCTCTGAGTGTCTGTTCAGATCAATGATTGTACAAAATATACGTATCCGAAATCCATTCTCGTATTTGGCTTATTTAATTCCGTTATTCACCAACGTGGATTAAGTCGATAATAATACACGAGAATTGGCAATATGTATATTTCATAAGCAATCATTTGTACAATTCAAATGGAGCCAGATCTCGGGCTACAAAAATGTCACCGCCAATGTAGTAAGCTCAATTTCGAACAAAACGCACCTTGCAGATCTACGCAGACAGTGAACATTTCGAACTCTACACATTCGCTAAACAATCTAAGTAACCGAAGTCAATGAGCAACTCAAATTACTCAATCTCTAATCCGGCCCACTCAGCAAAGCCAGTACTGCAGTGACATGGACACGCTACAATTCCATTACCTTATCTGCACTTTGTCCTCGTGTCAACTCTGCTCACTGATATATTTGGAGGATTGTTCCATTATGATTACCATAATTATCATATTTCCATATCATCATGATGTAAAATTATTATTTTTCTTCGTGCTGACACTAACTTGTGGCATATCACTCACCGAACAAATTATAATTTTATGAACGCTTCACGTTTTGCTATTCGAAACTCACTCATTCACATAGCTGAGGTCATTTTTATGTTGTCATGCCACATATTTTTCATTTCCGTATAATCTATTGTGCCTGTGGATGCCTTTAATTCTAATTAGCCTTTTGCTAGGATCGGCGACCTTTATCTTGTTCTGGATCATTCATCATATCAATGGCTTAAATACTATCGTTCATTTTTGTGGATATATGAATATCACATGTCATATATTTTCGACAGATTTACTAGCTGTTCGTATACCAAACGACCTGTGACCTGTCGAGTAAACTGTCAGTCTGTAGACACACATGAACCGTCAGTCTAAGCAGCCAAGCAAACCTCATGCACGTTGATAACAGCATGATCACAACACTGTCGCAGATATAAGTCTGGAGTCATACTTGCGGTAGTAAGGACTTATGTTCTTGAGATGTGACCAATGTTTATTGATCACATTGGTACGCGGCAATTATCGTTTCAATGACAATATAAATCGAACTCCAGCCATTTTTTAAAATTTAATCGGTGATTCTTACTTTAATGTATACACATACACCAAGTATCCGACCCCGCATTGCTGTCCAATTAGTGACGATTATGTTCATCTTATCTATTTCTTCACATATATAACTGCACGATTTATTTTTCACTACCCATAAATAGCACTCGATCACTACAATCAATACTCTTTTCCCGTCGCACTTTATACCGGAACATAGAGTATAGAGCTGTTCTCTAAAAATACACTCTTGTCCGTCACATCAATGTCAGTTTCACTCTCCATTATCGGTGACCATATGTATTGGTATTGTTATCATGCCATAGCAAGGTTTCATAACAAACAAGGTCGAGCGCATATCCTCCTACTAACATTAGTCCTTCATGAAGAGCACACACTAATATATATGTTTCATAAGTGAGTAGAATGTCTATACCAATTAGATGACAGTGAGAGGTCAGCTTAGCAAAACAATAGTCAGTCAGTTAAACAACGCTTTGAAACCTGAAATTAAGACTAAAACTAAGGTGACCTTGTGTCACTGGTTGTCATCATTGGTTCATTCTATTTACCTAATAGTTAGAACGCTGATTTGATCAAAAAAATCGCACTGTATTTGAAATTTTCGCTCTCAGGTGGCATCACAGTAAGACATATTGGATTTTCCATAACCTTATTTCCATGTTGATTATAAATTCGTCGAAATCACTTCTGTTCTGTCATGTTCACGTTCTCTGATGCTCGAATGATTGATAATAAATTATTCGAATCGTGCCACGATTCCATTTACAGGTGACTGAAATGGTATTATTTCTAAATTATCATCAATTTTTTCTCACAAATATATGAACGTGCTGAATTAGAGACAAATAATTATCACCCTTTTAAATTTTAATTACTTTTGAGCATTACGGTCTTCACATAAGTTACTGATACTTTTGATTTATAATTATTCTCTTTTGGCAGGTTTCATGAACATGCGAATGGCTAAACAAATACTGACACATTATCTACAATATTCATCATGGGTATTCACCTGAATTTCGAAGAACTCTTTAGATAAAAGAGCAGACCATAAATTCATATGTTTAACTGAACTTCTTAGGGTGATCTGAGATCTCTTGAATGTATACTATTTAGTGAGTAGCTGAGAGAATGATGAAATTGAAAGCTCAGTTCATTAAAATAAATGAGATAAGGCAATTACTGAATTTGGTTCTAATTACAGTTCTTAACATTAGGAATATTTTCGGTGTCTGCTTTCATTCACATCATTCCTGCTCACTAATACCATAAAATATGTAAGATCCAAACTAAGGTTTGGACTGAAGAATAGCTGTCTAGGTGGGTTAGATACGCGCCCTTGCCCGGTTCAACCCAAAACAAAGTGATGACGGTTGTGAAACTCATCATAAATTTAGGTGTACATTGTTACCTAAACAATTATGACAACACAGATATCCAACCAATAATTGTTCAATTAATCAAATGTAAATTACAATAAATAAGGAAGTTGAAAATAGATCCGAGAAAATTACCAATCACAACAAATAAATGTTATTCCATCCTGTCTGGATAGACCACGCATAGACAAATGTTTAGTCAGTTATGTAATATTTTATCTATATGTCAAAGTATTTAGCTATTAAATTATTCAGTGTTGTTTGAAATAACTTGATAATTTGGTTATATTCTGAAAAATGTTTGGTGTCTTATAACAGCTCACATACATTTGAGTTTATTCACGCTTAATTTGGTTAAGCCCTTTT